AGAGGGTCGTCGGAGAAATCTTTCTTGTTTTGAGCAAAGCAAGTGGCACGCCATTTCATCTGCCACGTGTCAAGGAGATTTTTTGGGATAACAATATATATATATATATATATATATATTTACTCTAATTGTATTCATCTCGATCAAGAGAGCGTCAACAAGCCTTCCTTAAAAGCAGCACTGAACCTCTCCGATTCATCCTTAGAAAGAGCTAGCCCGAACTCAATCCCGAACTCAATCCCTCCTTCTTCATCTCGACTTTCCACAATTGATATCAATCCATCAGAACCAATATCACCTACCTCCGTCTTCTTCGTCCTCCCCCACCCAAAATCCAATTCGTACCAACGCAACTTCGGCGACCCTGCAACGTTAACTTGGTGGCCACCTGACTGGGATATTTCCTTCGCCCTCAATACCCACCTCTCCGCTCCTCTCAATGCTTCCCTCTCCAGTTCCATAATTTCTCTTCCAACAGGCTTTGCTGCCACCAAAATCCCAGTTTCCCCTAACAGCTCACCTTTCTTTGCTTCTGCAAATAGCGGTTCCAGGCAGTTTCCGAAGTAAGTTGCAGGTATTTTTAGACGGTCACTCAAATCCGCCGCAAAAACAAAGTGGGAGACATTATGGTCGGTATTGTCATCCATTTCAGTTTGTTGTGATTTGATCAAACAAACCCACATGTAAGCGCAGGTCACAATGAACGTTGATATTCTTAATGGGTTCAACGGACTCTCTTCCGTGCTCTTTCGTTTTACCCAATTCTTCAAAATTTCGATTTGGGATCGATTAATTACGGTCGTAATCCTTAGCTTCTGCAGGGGAATGCTGCTCAAATCCTCCCATTCCGACGCGTCCTTCATAAATATTGAAGCAATCCCACCTGGATCACTGATTAAATCCCTGTTGTAAATAGGAAGGGACTCTCCCTGAGAAATCAGGTCGCTTTTCGACTTGCAAATTACCGTCCATGATTTCATGAAATGAGTAAATACTCTGCCATCCACCACCATATGGCTGAACGTGATGCCAATGGAGATGCCTGAGTTTGGAAACACAGTCACCTGAATGGCCATGGCAGGCTGCTGTTTGCACCCTTTACTAACAGGACTTCGAGGTAATCCCCTCACTAACGCTTGCAATTCTCCTACAGTTCCTTCATGATTTCCTACAAGATGGCTAAAGTCGGCCGTGGATTCAGCTACGATGGACGGGACAAAGTCACCCTCGCTGTAGAGGATATAGGGTTGTTGAGGAGGTGAAGGGAATATAATACTACCAGCCAAAGGGAAGAAATGTTTCAGGGCAAGAGAGAGGGAGGTTTTGAGATTGGGAAGAGTTGTTTGTGTGAAATGCAAGGTAGGGTAAGGTATTTCAAAGAAGAAGAGGAATTGAACGGGGCAACAATTGATCCAATAGATGTCAAAGAAAGTGAGAGGGACGGTGGTAGTCTGAACTAACCCGGGCGGTGGAGATACCTGACTGTCTTCAAGAACCTTGACAATGCCGGTTTGCCAGGCCAATAACATTGAGACACTCTTCTCAATGAAAGAGATTGAACATGAATCTTATTTGCACCTCAAACATATATATAGATAATAGAGTCGTTTCAATGTTTGAAGTTTGAACTATAAAATATAAACAGTAAAACGATAAGTTATGACGAAAAGATAGAGATTAAGGTCCCTTTAACGAATGTATAATATAATGATGACGTAAAGGAGCAAGCTGCATGCTCATGCTCCAATCTTTAGGCTTGAATCGTGTTGTGGAAAAAGGCTGCATATTTCAGGATTCACTTTCCATGTCAGGACAAGCATTTAGCAGGTTTTGAATCGTGCCCCACTAGGGATGTGTTTGGAAGGTGGAGAAGTAAACTTCTTGCCAACTAAGTTACCATTCTTTGAGTTGGTCATGTTGTACTTCTAGTTAGTATGATAAACCTTAAAAGTTAAAATAATAGTAATTTCTTTTCAAGTGTTCAAGGGATACTTTAGTATTTTTTTGTTTTTGTAGTTTCTCATTCGGGGTTCCAATTCTTGTGGAAGTGCAAGTTTGGCTTAGTTTATTACTGATTTTCTCACATAAGGGTTACCATCTCCTTCAATAGAAAGGAAAACATAAATGCACAAGAAATTTTCAATGAATTCCATCTATGGGGTTGATCCCCTGATTTTGCATTCTGTTAAATTAAGCTAAAAAAATTATTGTCAAAATACATATTTCTTTTTCCCCCTCCCCCATGCAGACTACTTTCTCTATCTCTTTCTTTTCTATGTATTCTAATTGCAACTTTGTATGATCAATTCCTGTACAACCTATTAAGAATATGTTATAGCCGTGGTTGTGGAAGTTGCTTGCGCTTTTATCTTCCATCAACAATCATAAAAAGTGTAATCTCTAAACTGAATTACTATTTGCTGTTGCAGATTGAGGATTCACTGAACCATCTGAAGAATGAAGTTCTTGTTTGTGATGAGTGTGTGTTGCCCATATCATAATATAAAATACCATTATGATTGAGAGAAGTACCATTGCAGCCCATACCACGTGCAAGAATTTTTTCATTGGTTTGCAATGTTTGTGAAGGATCTCAGAAAATGCATCCTTTACTGACTGACATTCTACTAAATTTTCCATACCAGGATAAGCATTTAGTAGGCTTTGAATTGTGCTTGTGTAAGCCTTAACAGTTCTGTAATCACTGCCGGAGATGAATTCTCCATCTTTACAGGTCCCATTGTTGGCATCAGAGCAAGTAAACACACCCAATATCTACAAATGAGAGTGGAGAAGGTAAGTTCATACTTCTCAAACTTCAAAGAAAGGATATGTGATAGTTCTATATTTTAAGAATTCATAAATAGTTTGGATGGAATACACACCTTTGGTATGTCACCTATTTTAATTGAATTAGCGGGACAGTTATTAGGCTGGTATGAATAATCTGGTGGTGCAGAAAAAGGATTGCAGACATAAGCAAGACTCGGATATGTTGTTGCCTGCATTGCTGATATGTTTGCATTCACCTGAATTTTTGTCAACGGGAAATGAATAGAATTGTAAATGATTCTAGTAAAAGTAATTAACATTTTTCATTCAACCATAAGCTGATAGGACCCGTACCTTACATAGAACAATGCAATTTCTTTTATTCACACATTTAAAAGGAAATTTCATACAAGCAGCTGAATGCCATGAAATAATGAATTCATTTATATGACTTATACTTTAGAAACTCCTATTCTACTCAAATTAGTTCTGAAGATCATTGTGATATAAGAGGAATCAAATACTTCTTTATAATGGGCAACATTTTGTCCATCCAATGTGTACGAGGTATGATTAGGGTTGTATTTACCCGGTTAACAAGCTTGTATATCCCTGCACTAACATCAGATAGGACTGGTTTTGCAGAGAGCAATTCATCACATGGGAGGATTGAGCTCAAGCTGTTATTGTAGGGATTTTCTTGGAAGCTTTCAAGAGCAGTGCACGTGTCACTTGAGAAACTGGAACATCAAACATTTATTTCAATTATCTTATTCATTATTTGTTAACAATTCAGGAAACCAAGAAATATCTGAGAACATGTATATTTGAGCTGAAAATAGTTAGAACTTGGGTTTACTTTTCTAAGAAGAAATACATCCCCGAGAGCAACCAGCCTAGAACTGTCAAGAACCAGCAAACTGCAATTAGCCTGCAAAACCAAGGGAGAAACTGTTCCCGTTAGTCTTTTCATCATATTTGCAAATGCAATGGATTTGTTCTCAATGTTTTAGCTACTCACACTTTAAGTGTCCTTTGAAATTGCAAAATTCCGGTCACTGCAAACAGAATTCAACTTTCATAAGAATCACAAGCCAAGAAAATGACTCCTAAGAATCAAAATTATTAAGGCTTGTTGATTCTTTTAGAAAGAAGTCATTATTCTTGCAAGTGCAAACATACCTGACAAAGCAATAACTGCTATAAGGTTCAAGGAAACAGTCAATGTAGTTATTACATACCTGCAAGAACAAAAGTGCGATTATATCAGTATTGATATGCAAATGTGGTAGAGGGAGGGAAAGACATAGAAGGAAGATATTTACACTATCTTGAGACCCTTGTTAATCAAGTGTCTGTTCTTTCTGGCCTCACTCTCTATGTCTGCAGCTTCAACATCAAGTTTCTTAGATGTTGAGGTAAGGAAGCCAGACGCCTCAGATGCCTCTGGAGTGGCAGCTGTAGTTGCTCCCAAGTTATTTCTCATTTCTTTCATAGCTCCTGTTGTATTGTATATGGTTTCTGATGCCTCATTTGCAGTATGGATGATAATGTTCACAACAGTTTTTGCCTGAGAATGGAATCTTGCACTCCCTCCAAGAACCAACCCAGATGCAGTTCTGCAAATTATGATCACAAAAATCACAGTAATCAAGTCATGTTCTCAATTTTTCTAACTTCAATTCATGAAGAAGAAGGCCGCATTTATACTTACATTGCCAGGATTGTGAAGAATACAGCCAGGAGAATAGGCCAAAAGTCACATTCTTTGAAACAGTGTGGTTTTCTCTTCATCTTTCCAGTCCTTTTGCAACAGAAGGTAGAGGCCACAAGATAACCTCCATAGACCAGTCCACACATAAGCCATAAGATCCCAATTATATACCCGTAGGAGCCTGTGAATACAGTTGACTGCACAAAACCAAAACAATACCCTTAAAAGAGAGAAGACTATATAAATTAATTCAAGAATTACAATCCCAATCCCAATCCCATTACAACATCTTACTTTCTTTACTTAGATTGGAGACAGATTCCATGAGAACAGTTGTATACTGGAAATAATCTTTAAGAGAAAGAGATATTACACTCCAATAGTGCTTGTTTGTAATGTCATATCCTCCTCTGTATTTCTTGAAATTGTTTAAAGGATCAACCCTCACTGTGTTATCTGATTCCTTCCTTTGTCCTGAGATATTGATGGAATTTGGACCTAATATGGAGAAGAACAATCTTAGCCTCTTTCAGAAGAAAAATGAAGAATACATGCAGCTTGCATTAAAATGGATCAGCCCATGCAATACAACTAGGCTTATTTTTTTGAAACCAACTGGACCTGTTACTATTTTCATTTATTGCCCTGGCCCATCTCATTTTGTTGACCATTTGACTCGAGAAAAAAAATTGTTGATCTAATTGAAATCAAAATTTTCACCATATAATATACACACGCATAAGCAAAGCTGCAAATGTTTTTCTTTCTATGTTCAAATTGTATGATACTTCATGATGAAAAAAGGAAAAGGGAAACAAAAAAACTGTATGATACTTCAAAACAGCAAATGTTAAAAGATCGAGGGATATATAATATAAAACAAGCCTCACCTGGTGCAGAATCACTTGGTGATGATGCAATTTGTCCAGCAGTTTCTTTGCTATTTACACCTAAGATTATGACCATGAATACTAGTATGAGCAGAAGCAGTCGTGTGGAACCCATTTTCTAACCTGTCAAACAAGTAATAAAAGAAAACTTCAGTTCTTTTCCTTCCACATAAATGGTTGGTTGATTGACCCAATGGCCAATGCTAATGCAAGCCAGTTTGGGTTTTATAACTAACCCATTAACTCTAAAATGGTGACCTCACTGAATTGACGTGCCTATCATAAACTATTAAACTTCATAAAAGCAGAAACCCAACCCATACGAGAGGGAGAGAAAGAGAGGAGAAGTTTCCTGATTTTGGTAATTACTATTTGGCTTTGATGAGTCTCCTAAAAGATGTCTTAATTAAGAATTTGAATATTTATGTTGAATATCTTAAATTTAAATTTTAATATGATAAAAAAAAATTTAAAAATAAAAAATTATCCCTATTATATAACTTATGTTTTGAAATATAAAAAAGCTTTGATATTTATATGAGTCTGGTTTTTGGAGGAATTTCAGATGCAAAACAAGGAAACTGCAGGGCATGTAATGAATGAACATCTGAGAAAGAGGAAAAAAAGATCAGAATCTAGCTTCTATGTGAATATATGGTTTTATTTTTTTATTTATATTTTTTGTCAATGGGTGTGAACACTTTTCTAAAAGCAGCATCCTGCTTTGTACAGAATGACTTATTCGCAAGTAAAGAACATTTTAACCGACTTAATCGTCCTTTTGGACATCAAGCGGACATAATCTAATTACACATTTCATTGAAGTAAAA